CTGCTGGTGACGAACAGCCTACTTAGTTCGTTGCAGACCCTTACACGACCAGAGGTAGGCGAGTACAGTTATCTCGGTAAGTTAACTTACTTCTGGGGCATTCCTTTTCGAAGAAGGCAGCCCATCAGAGCTTCACGATCAACTGAGTCGAAGGCTTCTTTCAGGCCCTAATTTCACCCATCGGTTGTGTTGTTCAGGTCGGGATTTGAACTCCATAACTTTCGCATGGAAGACGTGTGCTCCCAGAATCAGCGCACACCTAGGCTGATTACTTGGATAATTCGAGATCTGAGCTCGAAGGCGAAGTCTGAAAGATGGTCAGTCCAAACCAACATCTTTTAATTCGCAAAAACAGCATTGTCAGTAGTAGTAAAAGTATCAAAGTAGTGGTACTAATAGTACTATTAGTAACGGTGGTATGGTTCTAATGCGGAATCAAAATACGGGCCGTTGTTATCTTCTGACCGTGGTGTGTTGGATTGTCCAAAATCACAACAACAACTCAGGGTTGTACACACCTACCGCTGTGTGCGCCTATATGGCCGAGATGCGCGCGATAAAATACAGTTCAATACGATACGCTAGCAGTGGCACCTGACGATGGGCTGGTAAACGAATGAACACGAGGACGACGACCCGTGTGCGTGCGCGCTTGCGTGTTGAGGTCACATAAACAGAATTGCGAATTGGGTCACAGGTGTTGCACTGTAAACCACACACACCCCACCCGAGATCCATCCAGTCCGATGGGTAAACCGGGGTGACAACGCGGCATCACCGAAACCTCTGGAGTCCACAAAGACCGCGTGGTTGCATGTTGTGTGTGTGTGTGTGTGTGCGTGCGGATGTGTGACACGTCATCGAACATCAACATCGAGAAGGAACACGGCATATTGATTATCCCCTTTAAAGAGAATAACCTGGGTGTGGTCATGCATGTGTACGTGTGCGCGTGTGTGACGGGAATGAGAAAGAGTAACAATAAGTGTAGGAGATGGGGGCCGATACTACTTTGGGTCAACCAAAGCGCATGATGTATACCTCCACTAGATTTGCACTTTAGACAAACACAACAATAACCACATCGGGTCACGTCAGGTCACACGGGTTGAAGGTTATGCGCGCTCTACGGTTGTGTGCCTCTGCTCGGGGTTGGGACACAGGATGGTGGTGCTAACGCGAAACACAGAGGTTACACGAAGCCATAGTGAACCAAGTACGCACGCACACACAACGCACGCATACAAAACAGAGATAGAGTTCTAACTGTGTTCATTTGCGCGTGCGTGTTGCTCTAAGTCAGGACATGATAATCGAGTACATAAGCGCAGAATGTAATATACAAAAAAACATGATTCGCAGCTCCATCCATCATTAATGCGCTCTTTGTGATCAACTGAAGACATATTGAGGTATAAAACAAAAACAAACGAACACATCTGGGTGTCGTTTCTTTCCGAATTGTTTTGCAAACCAGAAACATTCTGTCGGGACATACTGCGAGACTCACCGCCTTTCATCATCTTTACTCACATCCTAGTATATGTATCTCTACACTTATCACTCGCTCCTCGATTGTGTTGACGAAACTAGCTCGCGATACGAGCACTGCGGTGACAAAAGTAATAACGGACTTGGGTTAGCCAGGCGCGAACTAACAACTCATGCACCGGTGAACAACAGTCCTTGTTTGAACTCGACAGAAAACGAGCAGTATGTCTTGTTTTGTTGGTATATGACGAGCTGCGGATATTCAGCAGAAATTTTTGAAAAAAAAAATACATAATACACATTCAAAAGGGGAACGGAGAGGATAAAGTAGCTTCAATACCGTCGCGATACTGACCTTCTGATGCTGGTCTGTTCGGTTGCACCAGATCGGCCGGGTGTGTTGAATTGACTAGCGGGGGCGCGACTGAAGTCAGTCGCTGAGCTGCGCCCGAGGTGACCGCATTTTCATTCCCAGACAAACTGCGACCCAACAGATTCAACAAATTGGTTGATTTGTTCGGTGGTGGACGTGGAATCAATGTGCGCAGTGCCGGGTTCTCCGTCACCGATGTTGGACCTGCCACACCCACTGTACTCTGGTGGGTCGGTGATAAGACGGATGATCCGCGCGATGGTAACACGGTCGTCGTCGTGGAAGCGAGCATCATAGCCATCAGGTTGTTCAATGTGTCATCCGAGGACTGTTCGAATTTGGGCTGTGTTTGGACGAGACTATCGGACATGACCGGATTGTGATGACCCAGCGCTGTCGACAGTAATGACGATGTGGGTGTGGTCAGTAACGACAATGTGGACTTATTCGATTGCGATAGGATTTCAGAGACAGGAACGGTAGAAACAGTGCCTGGAGTTGGTATCCCGCTGTTTGTTGAACCAGTTCGAACTCCACTGTTATTATTCGGTGCCGACTGACTTAGTTGTTCCGCGGTAGCCACAAGGGCTAGATTTCGCTCGGCCCCAGTCACCGCACCGCCTTGACTGACCACACTGAGAGCAGCTTTGGCTAGTTCGCTCAAGTCCAAAGTTCCGTCCAGCGTGGTTGGATTGGAAGTGGTCTGGGCGATCGTGGAACCGGTCGGGGCGATACTGTTCGGGAGTTGAAGTGGGTTGCTAACTGCGTTTGAAATTACATCAACACTACCCACATTGGGCAGTGATGCGGTCAAGGAGGCCAATCCGAGTGCGGACTGTGGGAGATCCTGGACAGAGATAAGCGCGGAATAACATAATAAAAAGGTTGCTCGACAAACATAACACAGAAGAAAGCTGGGAACAGAGGAACACGCTATTCGTTGTAATGAAAACATCCTAACAATCGGTAGGGACTGCCCTACTAGATCAATAAAAGGCAAAGGAAGTTCGATTATTACAGTGTGGGTAAACTATCCAGTACAGAAGCAACCCAAAAAACGCAGAAAAAACTCCCTTACGGAAATATGATCTCGACTGGCTTGTATTGAGGTTCACATCAATCCTGAAAGCGGTCCATTTTGATGCACATGCAAAACAAATAAGCGGGACTCTAGGGACAAAGTGCCCACTGTTTGCCAATAAGAATCGTCGTGATACACAGAAAATGTTATTTCAGTTTTTGTATTCTCGAGTCGAACGTGCATCTGCCAGGTGCCAAAGTGGATCACGTCAATCGCCACTTTAGTAATGCTGCTACCGACACCTTTTTTCCATACACCGCAGTCGATCTTCCCCTTAAAGATGCGGATCAAACGGAAGTCTTTGACGATTTGGTCTACAATCAAATAGAGCATACGGTCCTGATGGACTGCCATCAGTTGTATTTCCCTTCTCTCCTGATTTACCTACCTGTTCAGCCTCTTGACTGCTGGTGGATGGCTTTTATCACGCCAGTAACCAAAATGAGCACGTCTGAATTTCTCCCAGTCGCTTGCACGTTTGCTGATTTTAAGGTTTTAGAAGACGTTTTATTGAAGATCACCTACTACCCAGAATCATCTGACCTTAATCAATTTGCCGATTGTAGTAGCTCCCGATGAACCATCGATGAGCTCGCATCCCTCATTCATGATGTCTCCTTTTCTTTGGAGAGAAAACATAAGGCTGTTTGACGGTGTTTCTCTACCATAGTGACGTCATCAGTTGTTTCGACTGGACAACACTTCTTCACTCACTCACCCTCTAAGAAGAGTATCCAGCTGCCGGTAATCAAGCAGTGATGTAATTACATCAATTACCGCCAACCGATCACTAAAAACACAGGATATAGCTCCTGGATTCTACTCTCCCCCCAGGGAGTTCATCCGGGTGCTATTGTATCTACCGTACATCGGCTACAGTTTTTCCATCCCTATTTTTATGATTATTAGCTCATTAGGTATGCGGATGATGTGCGTATGGCAGGAAGTCTCCCAATTTCTTTCAGTGACCGAAACGCATCGATGACGTGTCACCACTCACCGACCGATCTTCACAGAGCAGCACGCACCACAACACAAATATCTTCTATAATACTAAACTTTGTGCGATTTCGTGATAACGCCCATCTTATCACTTAAAGCCTTAAAGTAAAACCTTGCTGTTTGTGTGCCGTGTTTTGTCATACTTCTTGTCTTAATTGATCCAGAAAATTCATTATGCTGCAATTGAATATTCAACCCCTTTGGATGATTTAAAGCGATTTATTTACTTGTGTAAAAGGTAGGAAAATATCACTGAACTGTGCAATGTTCTCGCCCAGTCTATTCACATGCACTCAACTGGTGGTCCGAAATTCTCTCTGACAAAGCGTAGTATCCTTTGTAAGAAAAAGTGGAAAAACCGGAAAAACTTACAAAAGTATTTAACGAGCCCGCGGACGGAACGAACGAAATTGTGGACCCGGTGGGGAGTCGAGGGTTTGAGTTCATTGTGATCGGAATGGACAGGCTGGGACTCAAGAGGATACTCTTATTCACACCGGCATTGCTCATCTCCATGGCCAACTTGATACAACTAGCAGGTGATGCAAGTCGAGGCTGAGTGTCATCTCCGTACAGCTGACAGACACTATTCCCGACGGTGGTGTTCGATGTGGGCGGGACTAGATTGGCGGCAAGAGTGGGTGAACATTCCCCGGGTGATGTGGTGGTGGTAGTTGCGGTGTTGGTAGTATGCGATCCGAGTAATTTACCGTGACCGAGAATCTCAATACCGTCTCCCGTAGGTAATCGATGCGGTGAAGAATTTCCGGCATTGTTGCCAGTGTTTCCACTACCGCACTGAGTTGGATCTAAATTGCCCAAACCAAAGCTGATCGATCGATCGGTAGTATTTGGGATCAAATCACGCGAACTGTTCATTCGACTCAAATGAGTGAGTGAGCTGTCTAACGGTTGACTGTCTTCCGACGCGGCTTTGGTTAACAACGAGCCAGGATTCCCGTAAAAATCCGTGTCCATTTCACCGGAATTTTCCAATTTAATTCCAGTTTGTGTTGGTGGTGGTTGTGGGGAACTGCACTGTGATTGTGATGTGGTCAGGACTCGCATTGGATCGTTTCCATCCGAAAGAAGATTCGGTGAACTGGTACCACCGTTCGCTCCCTCGTTGCTAGCCGTATCGGATGCGAATCCATAGCCGTAAGCAGTCGATGGACGACGTTCGTTTTGCACTGCCTCCGAACGCATTCCGACTGCTAGACATTTCTGTAGACGACAATATTGACAGCGATTTCGGAACGCTTTGTTCACCAGACATTGTTGATCACTGCGACATGCGTAGCTCACGTGGCCACGAATCGAACGCTTGAAGAATCCTTTACAACCTTCACATGAGACAACGCCATAATGACGACCTAATGAAATGAAGCAAATAAAGAGGGATAGCAATGATACACAGCTACGCAACTGTATCGTACTGTAATTATACTGTACTGTATTGAACGGCCATTTCAGCTGTTATCAGCATTGTGTCAGGATTAAGGAAGAGGATCCTTATTAAATATATGCCTAACAGATAGGATTCTCCAACGGAGTGGATAGTTAGGAATCAAAAATAAAGCTTGGTGAACGAGTAATATCTTCACAATAAAAGGTGAATCTACGGTGATGGGGACAATCCATTATTATGCACGAACTATATGACAGTCGTTAAATCTGAGTCGCAATTGTTTTTAGCGGAATTGTGAATACAGTGCTGAATGAGCTAATCTTCTGCGAATCTAACAAGATTGGGGAGCAGAACAGAACAACTGAAAATTCAAGGGTTTTCGTGATGTATAACAGTCTCTCATTCCAGACTCCGATAGATAGGGAGAGAGAGGTACAGAGTAGATTGGCCACTATCATCCGTGCATCGTCAAATCCAAATTCCTGCGACAGAAATGCAGTGGGTAAAGCTTTCAAGGACTGTGTGATTTTGACACAGAGGGTGAAAAAAACAACTGGAGAGAATCAGTGTTCCATTTGCAATGAGATCCCAATGGTGAGGGCAGAGAACGAGCACAGAAGCACCGTTTGTTCGTACTTCTGTCACAATTCGAACGGTAAACCATCAGGTTTGGAACGGAACACCTGAGCTATATGATCTACACACTAAAAATGTTCACATCAATGGAAATTTGGCACGTAGATTGGTCCATTTGATTTATCACAAGCCTTGGACACTCCGTGTCCAAACTTGCGATGGAGAGAATCGGCCACTGTTTCATTATGGTCGACGTGGCATTGATTCGGGCTGTGACAAGTCTATCAACTGTCTAGCTTATAGGGACTGGAAACCTCGGAATCAATTGCTAATCAAACACATGGACCGAAATGGCTGAGTCCTGTGAGGAGTAACCCCGGGGCATCAACTCAATATCGTGCACGGACATTTTCACCCTGCTTTTGTTTCCAGCAATCCGTTTCTGTCTTCTGCTCTTTCACGTAAATGGGTAGCAACCAGAACGGCTGTAAAAAAAAAATGCAAGGTTACCAGCTTGATAAATTGCGTCGGGCGGAGCCACTTGATATTCGACACAGATTCGGTTCGCTAAATATACACAGTCGAAAGAATGATCCAGATTAAAATGCACCGGGGAAATTTAGACTGTTGCCATGATACGGTAAATTTTTATCCCGATCAAACACTCAGTGAGCACGCTTACCTGAAGCTTTATCGCCGCAAACTTTACATGGTTCCCAAGAATGACCTTCACTGGACATATTGATACTGGTAGTTGACGAATTTGGACTGAATTTCGATGGCCCGTTGGCAGACACCGAATTCGGTGAGCCAACGGCATCCGGCAGTATCAATGCACTGTCTGTATTTGCACCGCTAACAGATACCCCCGGTTGGGAGGAGGAAGTACAGGCAGAGATCGATGGTGGTGGCTGCGGCAATGGAGGTGGTGGTGGTGGCGGGGGAGCTGGACATGTGGATTGTGTAGAGACAGGTATAGGAGTAACGGGATGGGTGGGAAATGGAGCAATAGCAATCGGAATACCGTTACTACTGCTCCCGCTGTTGATATTAC